GCAAAAAATCAAGTCTACCATTCAAGGACTAAGCATATCGACGTGAGGTATCACTTTGTGCGAGAGATCTTTGAAGAAGGAAAGATTCTACTTTAGAAAATTACGACATCAGAAAATCCTACAGATATGATTACCAAGGTGGTAACAGTAATCAAGTTCAATCATTGTTTGAACTTGATTAACATCCTGAAAGTATGAACACCTTCGGGTGTGTGGCGCTTGTGAGCGCAATTAGAGGCATTACAAATTTGGGGAGTTGAAGAAGTTGAGTAGGCTTGGTAATTTCAAGCCAATGTGGAGATTTGTTAGATTTGGCTTGAAATTAAGTTGGCAAGTTGGAAATTTAATCTTGGTTGGTGGCCAACTTATTGGAAATTTCATCTTGGTTGATGGCCAAACTTTGAACATGGGAATTTCATATTTGGTGGCTAACTTGTACACATTGGAAAATTCTTTGGTAGGTGGCCAACTTATTTTTGATGTTTGATCCCTAAAATATTATGTTATTTATAAGTTTAGTCCTTAAAACTCAACTATAAATAGGACTAAATATTTCATTAGAAATCATCCCAAAAACAAATTCTCTCTTCCTCTTGTATTCTTCATTCTCCCACTTTAGGAATTTTAAAGAATTTCATTTGTTGTAATATTGGCGATATAGTGAAGTTATCATCTGGTGTGGTGCCCGAGGAGTAGACGATATTCTCGTCGAACCTCGTAAATTTAGTGTGTTCTTTCCTTTATTGTTTTTATTCGGTTTTTCCATTGTGTTTCAATATTCAATAGTTTGACAAGTTTATCCACTGTGCAACCTTTGGTGGTTTTGATCTTGACATTTTAGGTCAATTTTGAAACTACGTTCGTGTGGGAAATAACTCGATTTCCCCAACACCATTAATGAACATGGAGGAAACACCAATACCAGGAAAAGAAATGTGTGTGATCCACTTATTTTTGAGGTTTGGGCCTTTATACATCTCTTTTTAACATATTATTGATGGTTTTTTTCCAGAAATTTGAGAAAGGGAAGACGAAAGCAAAAAACGAGGAGAAAGTAATTCATGTAAGAGCAAAAAGAGGGCAAGCTACCGACAGTCACAGTTTAGCAGAAAGGGTAGGTTTATATGTTCTTGTTCAAATAAGTGGTCCTATGAAGAAAACAATGAAAATATGACTTAAGCTGCAAGTAACACTGCCTCACTTTCTTTTATCAGGTAAGAAGGGAGAAAATAAATGAGAAAATGAGGTGCTTACAGGACCTTGTTCTAGGATGCCACAAGGAACTTGAATGAATCGCTTTTTTTCTTAGAAATGAGCACACATAATTTAGCACTAACTGGATTTCAACAGACGATGGGGATGGCTATTATGCTGGATGAGATAATCAATTATGTTCAATCATTGCAAAACCAAGTAGAGGTAAATTGAATGCCCTGTAAAAATATGATTTCATGTTTCTTAGCTCTCAAGTAAATACCACAAACACCTTATGAACTAACTTTTCTTCTAATTTCAGTTTCTTTCGAAGGTTGCGACGCGAACTCGGAAATCTAATGCATCAAAAGACACAGGTATACATCAAGCAACTTCATTTCCAACATAATCATGTAAAAGAAAGTAAAAAGCTAAGTGCATTGTTTGTGTTTTGTCAAAATGAGTTATTGTGGAAGCTAAATGATGCAGGGGTTAGGTTCACATGTAGGACAATAGATGGAGAAATGGGCAAAATGTGGATATGGAGAAGAGGATTGCTTCCATTTGACATGGCCACTTTGACTGCACTTTTGGCCCTTTCTATCTTGTTTGCTATATAGCAAATCAATACGCTTTGTACCTCACTTTCCTGCAAATCAAATCCGTCTAGTTAGATATCGATTGTCCTAATGAAAAATATAACTACTTGCATTCATTTTTACTCATTCAACAATCCTAAAAGATATAAAATAAAAAGATTTACAGCAAATCTACCTCATATATATATTTTTATACATAGTTCTAATATTTTTTCCGGATTCCCTCTGCAAAAACCTCCTTCACAGGTCTTCCGCAGACCACATTAGATTGGACCTCCATATCCACTCCTTCGCCAATAGCAATATTGAGGACTTCGGGGTTTCATACCCTCCAAAGTTCCATATCCTCTGACCAGCTGTAATCCTTTGACAGGATCATTGGCAAGTTCATTTGATCTCCCAGAACTGAATCTATCATTTGATCTCCCAGAACTGAATCTATCATCTAACAGGCAAATTTATTTAACCTGCCAACCTACAAATAATTGTCACCTTTCAAAGCTAAAGGAAGGAGGGCTCTCTTTCTTTCTTTCTTTCTTTTTCTGAGCACTTTACTTTTCATTTTCCTGAGCTCATCACTCTTTATTTTCTTCGTAAAATTATCGGGTGCAATTCTCCGTCCAAATTAAAAGAGGTGAACTGTCCACTATAATACCATTTTGCCATCAACAATAATTGTACCCATAATCATTTCCAAATATGTATGAGATATAAACACAAGACATACACTACGGGGGTTGATAGGCCCATCCAAAGGGAAATTAACTTTGCCAGTAGTGACTTGGTATTTGCCTAACTTTCCATGTGTTTCCAAACTCAAACATAAAAAATAACACTCAAAAGACAAAATACATTTGGAACATTAACAATAGATCAGAAACCAATCGTGTAGGAGCATCACTGGTTGGTTTAATGCACTTGCTTTTCATAAAGCTTTACGCAATGTTAACGTCCTTTCTTTGGATAATCACCAACACTTAGATCTATGATCTATCCATACATCAAGCAATAAAGGGAAAGAAACAGTCTTAGGATTGACAAAAACTAATGGGTCCAAAAATATATACACTGATGAACAGAATCTCACAGATGTTGCCAATTCATATGGTGAATGATTGAAATTATGGAATACATAAACATATTCCAGGGTCAATTTTTAATACCGGACGTAATTATAAAGTAGTATATATTCGAAATCTTTTTTAGCTATTGATAATGCACATGATATATACGCAGTTCCTCGAATCGGGTTTTCTAAGAAGAACAACTCTATTTTAACACTGAAGTCGCTCAATAAATTCGCAAGGGGATTTATATTAGGGAAAGAAAAGAAAAAGAAATACAGGTGCATTGCATTCAAAAAATGGGACAGGCCTGGGAGGACAGCTTGAATGGGGCACATCATGTTCATAAGAAGATGGGAGCAGTAAGGGTTTCTCAACACTGTTGATGAAAATTCTAATCAACCTTTAGACCTTTATCTTTGAGTCTTTATTTGAACTTTTAGGTGGCGTTTGGTTCGCTAGAATGTTTCTGAGGGAATTGAAATTTGTGAAGGAATTGAAATCTGTCAGGAATTGGAATCTGTTAGGAATTAGAATCCAATTTCATATTCTGTTTGGTTGGCAGGAATTGAATTGGAATCCAATTTCATATTCTGTTTGGTTCGCAGACATGTCAAATTAATTTGATTTAAGTAATGTAAAATAACAGGATTGTCCTTCTTGTTTTTTTTCTTAATTTTAGTTTGTTTTATAAATTACATGTAGCAATATATTATAAGAATTTTAAAAAAATTTAATTTTATTAATTGATTATTCATTTTAATAAATTATAAAAATAATGCTAATAAACATCATAAGTTAAAATCATCCCAATTAGGGATGGCCATGGGTCGGGTTGGGTCGGGTTTTTGGTCCACCCGACCCGACCCGAGAACAAGGGAACCTCCATCCGAGACCCGACCCGACCAAAATAAAGTTTTACCCGACCTGACCCGAATATATGAATTAGAAACCTGACCCGAAATAATAAAAAAAAATTTATTCAATAAAAACAGTGACTTAATTGAAAAAAAATATATATAGAGGGGTATAATTGTAATTATTCTTAAATATATAAGGTAAAATTATATTTTTTTTGGTCGGGTCGGGTATTTTTCACCCTAAACCTGAACCTGACCCAACCTGAATATCACAATTAAAAAAACCGACCCGACCCGACCAAAATAAAGTTTCACCCGACCAAACCCGAATATATGAATTAGAAATCCGACCCGACCCGACCCGAAATAATAAAAAAATTATTTTTATTCAATAAAAATAGTGACTTAATTGAAAAAAATTATATAAAGAGGGGTATTATTGTAAGTATTCCTAAATATATAAGGTAAAATTATATATATTTTCGGGTCGGGTATTTTTCACCCTAAACCCGAACTCGACCCGACCCAACCAAAATAAAGTTTCACCTGAGCCGACCCGAATATATGAATTAGAAACCAACACGACCCAAAATAAAAAAAATATTTTTATTCAATATATGAATAAGTTACCGAAAGATTGATGAGAGTAGTATGGTCAAATTTCAATTCCCTCCAACAAGAGAATTGAATTCCATCATAGAATCGATGAAATTCACTTTCCCTCATTTGATGGAAAGTTGAAACCATGAGCGATTCCAATTTCCTTGGAAAACTTGAACCAGGGAAAGTGATGGAATTGGATTTCAATTCTCCCTAATTCCAAGGGATTCATACGAACCAAACGCCACGAGTGTCAAACAGCATGAACAACTGTCAAACACTTTGTTAGAAACAATGAAGTAATAATCCAAAATAATTAAACCTATATAATATCACTGTAAATAAATATTAATCTGAAACAAAAAATTATCTGGAGGAATGAACAAGACTCTTTATAAATGGTAATGTTCTATAAAACAAAATCATATAAATGTGTACACCAAAAAATTGATAATACAAACCAAATGAACAAGAGTTTCTTTCATAAATCTGACTGTGGTGGTTTCTTGGAGGCGAGAGGGAAACCGTGGCCAGCAGGCTGTGGTGGTATCTTGCGTGATTGGCAAGGTAATGTTTTTGTATTTGAACAATGACACATTATCAGAAACTAATTTTTAAAAATAAATTCGTTTTCTGTTATGCATGATCATTAAATTTACTAACTGCATATAAAGTGTCAATGCATTAAGTATAGATCCGGAATTTACTGGCTGCATTGGAACAGTACGAGTTGAGCTTTTTCTTGAATGAGACTCCATAGATCGTTCATGTGACGCTCTTCGGTCAGAGTTGCTCCAACGACGCATCGAATGGCGTAAACTCCAGCTACCACTCCTTGTGTCATGAAAGCTCGTCCACTATAGTTTATGGCATCCAGCAGTTTGCGGTTTAATTCGCTGCCGTCTAGCCCCTGCTTTGGCTTAAGCCTGAATAAAACCAATGCGATCCTCCTCGGAACCACGATCTCGAACCTGTCATCTTGTTTTACGAGTGCCTCGAATTTCTTAGCCAGGCTGACATCGGAGCGGATGTGCTGCATTAGGTTTTCTGCGCCAATCCGGCGGATTACGATCCAGAGCTTCAGTGATCGAAATCGTCTGCTCAATGTGACTTGCCAGTCTTTGTAGTCCACCACACCGTTGGATTTACTTGCTTTGTTTTCTAGATATTCCGGATTGGATGACAAAGAATCAATTAAGAAACGCGGTTCCTTGAGCCACAAGAAACAGCAGTCCATGTTGGTGAGAAACCATTTGTGCGGATTCATGCTGAGAGACGATGCGAGTTCAACTCCGTTGAGAAAATGCCGGAATTCGGGGCAAATGCAAGAATTTCCTGCATGAGCTGCATCAATGTGGAGCCACAGCTTGTATTCATTGGCAATTTTGCCTAAGTCTGCAATAGGATCAACAGCTCCGCAGGCTGTTGTCCCCACGGTTGCACATATGAACAATGGCACCAAGCCTGATCGGATATCATCGTCGATAGTTGAGCGAAGTAGTTCAGGTGACATTGCGAATTCGGTGGCAAAGGATGTTTGAAGGAATCGAAAATTCGATGGGGGAATGCCGACTAATTTCGCAGCCTTTTGGAAAGTGAAATGAGTTTGATCCGATGCATAAACCACGAACTTGTTTATATTCGCCCAATTACCATCAAGTTCTTTCAAGGCCTTGTCTCGAGCAGCAGCCAAAGTGCAAACCACAGCCTCACAGGTAGTGCCATGAATGACACCGCCGCCTGTTCCGGAGAACAAAAACGAAGATGGCAATTTAAGCATTTTGCCCATCCAATCGAGGACAATCGATTCCAGTTCCGTGGCAGCCGGAGAAGAAATCCAGTTGAAACCAACCACATTAAAAGCAGAGCAAAGCATTTCTCCCAGGAATCCAGCAGTGCTAGAACCAGCCTGATAGTAGGCAAAGAAACTAGGGCTTTGCCAATGGGTTAGGCCTGGTAAAATATGTTCATTCACATCATTGAGTACATCCTCTAGTGAATCGGGGGTACACGGAGCCGAACCAGGTAACTTGGACGACAAGTATCCGGGCTCGACTATGCTTTGAACTGGGTATTTCTCGATGTTTTTATAGTAGTCGGCAATGAAATCGATCACCGCTTTCGACTCATCTCTGAAGCTGTCTAGGTCTAGGGGGACAAAGCTTTTTTCCGAGGTTTTATTCATTTTCATAAGAACATGAAAGTTTCTGGTCTTTGCAGTTTCTAATATTCCGTTGGGTAATCCAGGTCACATGTTATATAGACAACACAGGATGCATGAGGCGAGTTGGTTTGATTTGAACCACTGAAAATCGATGATAAATATGAATGTGCTCGAATATGAGCCTAATATTACAGTATGTTTATTTCACGTAAAATATTTTAAGATCCGAATTCTTCGACGTTTGATTGGCATGAAACACCTTAACAAACATGATTCATTTTCAACATAAAATCACCCGTTTTTGACGCAAATTATATATCCCATAGGCATTTTCCAAACTCAGACACAAACCTTCAAAAGTGTCGTCAAAATAACCGTCACACTCACCGACGTCTCTCCCCTTGGACGGCCACAATACCCAGGTGAGTTGGCTGTGGTTGAAACCTCCGACATTCGAAACTACCGATATATCCAAATACACCAAATGAAAATTAAATAACATATGTTCATCAAATTAACTTATAAAACGTTAGTGGTAGAGGTAACGGGAAGAATTATAAGAGAACGATAATGATTGCAGATTAAGAAATTTTAAAAGTTCACTGTTACTTTATAAATATAAATATTTTTAAATTTTGATTATTTTAATAATTTATCATTATACAATTATGTATTTTAAAATTTTTAATAATATTTTTAAAACCTAACATTTTATTAATTTTTTATTTAAAGATTAAATAAGTCTTTAAACTTTTAATTAGAATCAATTATACTTCTTTACTTTATCATCATTCACACACATAGATCATTATCGTAACAATTAATGTTAACTAAAAGATGAAATTAATGTAATCAAATAAGTTTAAGAAGAAAATAATGTAATTAAAAAATAATACACTACAAAGTAACTCCTTAAAATTCACAAATAATATAGTTTAGAGATTTATTTATTTTATTAAGCCCTAAAAAACATAAAATGTGTTATAAATTTAATCCAAATCCAATCTATAAACCAATTTAAACTTACTTGAATACATCTTAAAAAAAACTTATTTACATGGATTAAATTATACCAAAGACCACCCAACTATAGCCCCTTTTCATTTCGACCACCATTTTTGAATTATTGTCAATCAGACCACCCAACTATTAAAATGCATTCACTCAGACCACTAGATGTTAACATTTAACGGAAGTGATAATGTGTCGGTTATTAAAATTGCTATAATTACATATTTGGTCCTCGATAATTATACATTCTTTCGGTTTGGTTATAATTTTAATTCAATTTGATAAATTCAACCTCCAATTAGGTGTTGACATGTGCCACTAGTAGATTTGGAGGATATTTTATTAATTTATTAATTTATTAATTTAATTTAATTTTATTTTATATCCAATCAGGTGTTGACACGTGTCGCCACCTTATTGGATACAAAAAGTTGAAAATTTTCAACTTGCTATTGGGGGATCGAATCAACAACCCACAACCCCTTTAAGGGCATGCCAAAACCGTTGGGCTAAGTCCCTCGATTAGAATTGTATTCCAACATTTTATATATAATATGTTCTAACCAATAGTAGAGAAAAATAAGAAACTAACATATATTTTTTTTAAAAAAGTAAAATTTAAATTTTTATATTTTTAAACTATCTTTGACTTTTATACAATTTTTATATAATCATCAAATTATTTTTTAATATAGTTAATAAATTTAGTTTTATTTAATAATTATATATAAATATATATTAATTATGTTAAAAAATTAAAATTATGATTTGTTTGTATAAAAAATAAATTTTAAAATAATTAAAATAATAATAAAATTAATATTTTTAAAATATTTTTAATATTTTTAAAATTAATTTAAAAATTAATTTTATCGAAACTTGAATTAGATTTTAAATTAGATTTATTTTTATATAATCAAATTATAATTTTCATTTTTATCATAATTAATAATATACACATATATATAATTTTTATATATAATTATTAAATTATTATTAATATAATTAATAATTATTTAATAATTATATATAAAAATAAAGGTAGTTTGAAAACATAAAAATTTAAGTTTTACTTTTTTTATATAAAAACTCAATATATAAGATTGAACTCATTTAATATCATGTTAATTTCCTATTTTCTCTACCATTGGCTAGAACATATCATATATAAGATGTTGGAATACAATACCAATTGAGGGACTCAACCCAACGGCTTTGGCATGCCCCTAAAGGGGCTATGGGGTGATAGTTTGATCCCCCAAAGAGCAAGTTGAAGATTTTCAACATTTTGTATCTAATAAGATGATGACACATTTTACCACTTGATTGGATACAAAATAAAATAAATTAAATAATTAAAATTAATAAAATATCCTCCAATCTAGTAGTGACACATGTTAACACCTAATTGGAGGTTAAATTTATCAAATTGAATTAAAATTATGACCAAACTAAAAGAATGTATAAATATCAAGGACCAAATGTATAATTAAACCAATTTTATTAACTGACATGTCATCGCTTTCGTTAAATGTTAATGGCTAGTGGTATGATTGAATGCATTTAAATAGTTGGGTGGTCTGATTGACAAGAATTCAAAAATGGTGGTCGAAATGAAAATGGGCTATAGTTGGGTGGTCTCTGTATAGCTTACCCTAAAAATTATAATACTAATGATTACATACTAAAAACGTATTTCATGGATTAAAAATTATAATACGAATGATTACATACTAAAAAAACGTATTTACATGGATTAAAAATTATAATATTAATGATTACATAATGTATTTACATGGATTAAAAATTATAATGCTAATGATAAAAGGCTTAATATAAAAATAAGTCACTAAACTATACTAAAAATTGACTTTTGATATTTAAAGAATTTTTCGTTAAAAATATGTTTCTAATGTTTTCTCTATCATACTTTTAGGTGTCTACCATTAAAAAGAAATCGTTAAGTGACATGTGTCACGTTCAGATTTAAAAAAAAATATTTGTAAATAATATTTTTAATCAAAATAAAAAAATAAACGTTACACGTGTCATTTGATGATTCATTTAACAATAGACACCTGCAAGTATAGTGAAGAAAACATTAAACACTTTTTTTTTCAATAAAAATTCTTTAAAATTCAATTTTAGGTATATTTAGGCACTTATTTTGTATGAAGCCAGGATAAAGCTAACAAAGAAAATTGCGGAAACAACCGCAGGGCACTATAGTTTTCAATTACTGTAAAGGTAAAGCACGGAAGATCCTTTGAAGCAGCTGCATTATTATCCTGAAATGGAGCGACCAGACAACCTAAGAAATATTATGGCCAAAAACATTATCATTCTTTTGTCAGGCATGCATTTTCATATTTTTAAACAAATTTTACATTTATTTATGTATTATTATTCTATGTATCAATAAAAAATTATTTTGTATCCATGTGTTAGATAATTATCTTATATTTATTTGATTAGTTATATTAATTAGGGATGTTAAAAAAATATCTAATTGTTAATCGGTGTAACCGTTATATTTAACAGGTTAATTAACTAAACCGTTAATACTAAACAATTTTGATTAATTGAATCATTAAAAATGATGTTAACGGTTACGAATTTTGATAAAATAAAATAAATTTATAATTATATTTCTAATTTATTATATTTTTACATAAATAATTTAATACAATTTTTTTATTATTTCTATTTTTTATATATATATTTAATAAAATTTGTACAAAAATAACTTAATATACATTTTTTTATTTTTTTGAAAATACAAAAACATACTTACACCAATATAATTATGTGTTTATTGTTAGGTAATAAGGTATTAGGAGATATACATCCTTATACCGGTGTAAGTATGTGTTAAGTGCTACACTTTTTATAGTATGAATTATGAAAAATTAAGAATTGAATAAGGATTTGCATATGTATGATGTGCTTATTTCAAACTAAATCAAAAGCAAATTTGGAACAAAAATGCAAAAAAAAAATGAAGAATCAAATAAGGTTTCGCATATGGTTGTTAAAGAAAAAGGTGTGAATTTCATTGTTTTTGTTGGTGGAATTGTCAAGAAGAAGAAGAATAAGAAGAAGAACAAAGGTTAACACGAGGTAACTACCGTGTTAGATAAAATTAACGAGAGATAACGTCAGGGACCTTATTGAATACGAACTAAAAGTTCAGTTATTATACTGTAAGTTTTAAAAGTTGGGTGACCAAAATACAAGCGCCCTAAAAGTTAAGAAGAATAAGAAGAGTTAATGGGAGGTAACTATTACGTCGGTTAAAACTAACGGAAGGTAACGCCGGGGACCTTATTGAAAACGAACTAAAAGTTTAGTGATTGTATTGTAAGTTCTAACAGTTGGGTGACCAAAATGAAAGTGTCCTAAAAGTTTGGTGACCATTTATGTAGTTTACCAGTATATATTTGAAAATAAATTTTATTTTATTTTATTTTTTTGGTTGTCCCCCAGTTCCAAGATTTCGCCTTGACTAATCTAGACCGACCCGGGTTGCAGCTTTGGTTGGTGAGTCTCCTAGCGGGGATTTTCTGCATAAACAAGGACCCTAACTTGAGACCTTTTTTAAGTGATATCAAGCTACTTACCACTTGAACCAACCCCATTGGTAAAATAAATTTTATTTTTTAGACAATATAATATAAATTTAAAAGATTAAACCTATATTTTATAACTTTTTGAGAAGGTTTGACGGTTGTTACATATACAAATACTTTTTTAATTCATCTAGGATAAGTATAAAGTAGTATATGTTCAAAGATAATTTAATTTAACCCTTTGATATTGACTTTTATTCCATTAGTATTTCTGGTGTTTGAATCCTAGATCTCAAAGAACAAGTACAATTTTTTACCACCAAGGTGGCTAAAAATTGTTGACAAAAGTCAATAAAAAATGAATAAAGATTAAAATTGAAACCGACATAAATATTTCAACCATGCATTATCTTAGGGAAAGTCTAAGCAACGATATGCTAATTTAAGGCTAAGGAATGACAAAGAATGGACATA